AAACTTAGTATAAGTTGTTTTGGAACCGGATAGAATCAGATGTGTTGAAAATCTTCACACTCGGAGTTTTAATCCAATTGTTGGGGCAAATTGTAAATTTTCAAGCAAGCAACGACGTCTCTTTAATTCGTCTCTACCTTGGGATTCGCTCCATTTGCAACTCGGCCAAGTTGATTACCAAGTTACCTGAGTCTTTTCCAAATTCCACTCAATTAGCTGAACGCGCTACTTAGTAGCTGGACGGCGGTTTCGCTCCCTCAAACCGCCAGCTTCGCTTTAACCTTGTTAAGAACGACGCTGTTAGCTTGAGATTCAGATAAGGCAATCAGCTGCAGGAAAGCAAGAGCGTGAGCTTCTTAGCAGCGTAATGTTGCAATTAGGACAGGCGTTTTTTTCGACTCCTCACTATCCTGTAGTCGTACGTGAGATTCTCAATTTATCAGGCTCAAGAGTTTCGTGATTTTGACTAGCAGCCAAAGTATGCAGGGGACTTTTTGTGTTGTGCTGCTAAGGGCACAAATCAAAGAAACACTGCAGTATAGAGCCGATTTGGCAGACGGCACAAACATTCCTGCCGTTTGCCAAAAAGAGAGTGCCGCCAAACTGCATTCCTGCCAGCACGTTCCGTCTGCGAAATGGCGTAGGGTGGAGCGATTGCGCATTGTGCAGGGCCGTAGTAGGGGCTGCTTGCCCGGAAATTGTCCAAGGGTTAAAATTCAATCGGCGATGATGGTTTAATAAATCTCAAATAGTTTACGGGGGTAGTTTCTAAAGGTGGGCATCAGCAGGATCCAATTGCCCTATTCAACTCTGCTAGGAACTGTAGGGAATAGTTTTGAACCGGAAATTTCGGTCCTGCTTGCCGACTCGAGCTTTCATCCACCCTCCAGCAAGAGCTCAGTCGCGATTCCCGCCTCCTGCAGCACCGTCCAGCCAGGATGTCGGCAGGGCCTACTCTTGCTAGATTTGTTGCCTTAGTATGCCAATCCTGCCATTTTCCTGACTTAACTTGCTATTTTTCCATGCAATTTCGCATTGGCCTGCATCGATGCCATGCTGTCGCTTAGTAGCAGTGACTGTTCGCCTGCTAAACTGTGACTCTTCCTCTAAATCCCCCGCTAGCTGTTAGACACTGTGCTTAAATGTGAACTCTACTGCTCAACTGTTCGCTAACAACTTCCAACAATGGCCACTGAGAATGTTCGTAGAAGAACAGTTTGGGTTTGCGGACAAACGTTGCGTAACAATTGCTGCCCCTGCTGAAGGAACAACTCTGCCGGCTTAATTCTTCCCCTTGACATAACCTCACATATTTTTTGAAATATGTGCGGCCTTAAACAACGCACAGTCGGTCACCATGTTTGCTATGACGGAGTATTTTGGGGAATTCGCATTGGCCAGGTAATGAAACACCCATGTGCTTCAATGATTAGCTAGATGCATGCATGCTTGTGTCATCGGCGCGCATGTTCACCAATTAGCGCTCCGGTTGATCAAGCTCGGATCCAGTCCAAATTTTTTAGTTGGTTTTTACCTTGAAGTGTTTTTGAATAATGCGGAAAAGCCCGGAAAGAGGCGTACGGTTTGTAGATTTTATTGAGTGGAAACTAGACTCAACAAATGCTTTTTGGGAATATGATGTCTGCTCTTTTCTCATGTTTGCTTGGCAAGTCAAGGTCTTTTCCAAATCTCTTTTCGTATTTTTACTGCAAAGAAATTCCCGTCTGGTGGTTGATGATTGGCCGAATTATAGTTATTCTCGTTCAAAACAGTTTGATCATCTCGATTTGATCAACGTCAATCCAGATTTTCCTTGCTCTTGTTTCGAACTTTGTAAAATTTGCTCCTTATTTCACTAACTCTTTAGCTGATTTACAACTTGAAACTCTCCAAGTCGGGGCTTTTGCTTATCATTATCCGAGTGGCAAAAGCTCTGAAAGTTACTTTTGGCCTCAATGGTGGCGTGTTGCATATTTAGGAGGTCTTGTACGTAGCTGGAATTTTTCTGGGGGCTAAAACAGGATTGCGGATTTTGCCAAGATTCAAAAGAGGGCTTTGCCAAATATCTAAAATGTAAGTTGTTTCAAAGTTCAAAGGATGAGAGCTTTATAATTCGCTAGAATTTCATAATTTGTATGAATATGATACATATTTGCTTAGGAGCTTTGTAAACGTGCATGGTGATATTTTTTCTACATTATTTGCCGGTTTAGCGTGCAAAAAAGTTTGTGTTTTTTTGGGTTTATTTTCAAGAATTTGAATTCCGCGTGCAAATTTGGGGGAAGGAAAAATGGCCCAATGCCTTCAATATTTATACGTGAAATCTCTTTAGAATCAACTATAAATATCTAAACCAATTGAAATGCATAATTACGGCTTAATCAGAAATGTCAAGAAAAATATCACGAACATTTTGTAAATACGGGAGAAGTTCGTCAGTTCCCTTCCAAAACTGTTGCCCCCTGAATGCAATGAGACAGACAGAGAGCGGCAGGGTTTGGCTTGCGACTGACAAAGACTTGACTAAAACTGACCTGCCATTTTCTCTGTCTTTGTCAGTATGACTGACCACAATTGGGTCACGACAAGGACGGGTATGGAACGAGCGCGGTGGAAGGAGGTGGCTCGTATTGTTTAGTGATATTTTTTACTCTGTTAAACATGTATTCCAGATAAATCTGTTTCAATTTTATTACCCAATTTTACACGCATCGATAATCAAAATTGCCGGTATTGTGATTATTTCGGATATGTAATCCTATGGAGAAAAGCTTCAAATGCTACTAGCAAGTGCAACGCTATTATCCAATGGGTTTTTGCTTATGCAGAAAATGGTGTAAAATTTAGGACATTTGGAGAAAATTTTCATTTTTTCAAAAAATCAACCCCACCGTTGGAAAAATTTCGGCCAAAAATCAAAATTTCACTCACATGAATTCGTCGATAATTAATTTCTTCCACAAGGAGTATTTTCCGCACAAAATCGGTACTGTTCCACAATCGAAGAAATCAACAACCTTTGTTGCCTAGAAACCGTCCCTGGTGCCGTGCGTTTCCGGAAACACGTAATCCTGATCGACCAATCGCTGGTCGACTCTTTGAACACAAGACGCGTATCATGGCAACGAGTGAATATAAACATATCAACTTTGAAGTCTGCTGTCAGTAAAGCAGGATTTATTGCAATTGAAGTTTTAAATGAACCGGTTTTTACACGTTCGTTTGGGAAAAAGTGTCTTATTTGTTGGAATTTTCTCGAAGGATTGAAGGATCAGAAAATGTGACTTTAAACAAGAAAATTAGCCATAAGAGGGACAGATAAGAGGCAGTAAACTAAGAGAGGTAATTGTTTAATGCTATAATGTGGCTCAGTGGTCGTATCGACAGGCAAACAACCTGAAAGAGCGAGATTCGAATCCCCAACCGTGCCACCCACAAAGAAATATTTTTTTATATTTTTTGCTTCCCCACTAGCTTTATATGGGGTAAGTAAGCTTCTTTTGCTTCAACTCCAACCTTTTTGTGTTTGTTTTTTTTGCGATGTGGAAGATGCGAATGCTTGGGTTTGTAAGTGTTTTCTTTTTTTTTGTTAATAAGTTTTTCTGTATCACTGTTCAATTTTTATCGACCGATATTTGTACCGATCTTCAATTTGATACGCGAAGAAATGTGCAGAATTGGTAAAAAAGAAGTTTGTTGACCCGTAAATCGGAAAATATTCAAATTTCGAATTTTTGTTACATGACTTTCTATCATTATTTTAGGAAGAATCACCCTTAAAAATTTCCTAACGCATTTTTCAAACACCCTGTATTAACAGTGGTAATTTTCAATATGTATATTATCAATTAGCTGGCAACTAGTCAAAGTGTTTTTTCTTCGAAGGATTTTCCTGGATAAGCAAAAGTGGCACTTGACGTAATTAAATACGAAACACGTAGAAAATCTTGCTCACTCTGGATGCGGAATTCAAGCTCCCGATGATTATTCATTCCGAAGTTTTTTTCTTTTCTAGTGGAGGAAAAAGCTTTTAATTTTTTTATTTTCTGCAGCGCGATGCATATTTAACAGTGTTGGCGAATTTTGCCGAACTGGAATACTTAATTCGTCCAGTTTGCTGGTTGGAAAAACCATGATCACGTAGGGTCAGCTCGTCACTGAAAGCAATTTCGTAGCGTTTTGCGTATTTAGTTGGTGAAAGAGCGCTGAACAAATTTGCTAGATTGCATGTCGTAAATTCGGCTTGCTTAATTACGTTTTCGATGCCGTGGCCCCATTTCCGGCATAATTATCATTGCAATTTAGGCAACGTACGTGTGAAGGAAGGACGTGAATTATTTGACGAACTTTCCTCCTTTCCAGACCATTTGTCTCGGTTAATGGACTCCGACATGTCCGGAGATGGCTCTGGAGAAGATTTTTTCTTTCCCGATTCGAGCACGCCATCCTGATGTTTGTGCCCAAACCGCGAATCGATTTGCGTTTGATTCTGCCTGAAACTGGCTGCTATATAGAATCGATTCTATTCCACAAAACCTACAGCTTCTGGATATCGTCCAGAGAGGACGATCGGTTCGGGAAACACCGTGTTTGCCTATCAAATAGTTTCCCAAAAGGCTGCATGTGTGCTTTGGAACTTGCGGGTTTACAAACTCATTGACCCAAACCGGAAAGTTTGTTTAGCTTTGCCTAACATTAACTTCGTTTACACGCTTTCAAGTGGCGTATATTTAGGAACGTGTGGCACGCTTAAAGGAAACCTGTGCCGGAAGATTTTGTCCAGTATTTACACCATAAATACCTTTACGCTGTTTATTTCGATCTATCGGGAGCCAGGAGTTTTCAGATTGGTTATAATTTCGCCTCCATAACTGGCAGTTAGTTGATTTTTCCAATTGGGAACAAAAGCAAAACGAAGCTCAGTCACATTCTGCAAATGCAAACAGCGGCTGGAAGGGCTGGGAACTTTCCATCCGCATTGCAGCAGCGGCTTTTCTGTGTTGGAATGGGGGACGCCACCATCGACTTACTAAACTACCCGATTCTGACAAATAGAACTGAAATATAACAGGCAGTTGTTTGCGTTAGTTTGTGCCAAGAATGGAATTCAATTTAGACGAGACGAAATCAATGTTTTCCAAGACACACTTTTATGAAAATTGACAGGAAAATGCACGACACTGAAATAGATCAACAACGAGCAAAACGAGCGTTCTTGCTCATTTTGCTTCCGGGAAACATGCAAAACGGGACTGAAAACATGAAATTTTGCAATAATCTTGCGCCACCCTTGCACAAAACGACGATAATTTTTCTAATTTCATATACAACAGAACACTGTATTTTTTCTACATAACCCCCCCCCCTGAATTTAAAGGTTGATCCGCCCCTGATGAAGAAACCAAAAAAATCGCCCTAACTAAACTAAGCAAAGGCCTGTACGCAATAATCCAGCCAATAGAGGAGTAGAAAAGTGCAACCTATTAATCGATTCGTTGGTTATTGACAAACAGTCACAACTAAGTGATTTGATTGCAAACGAATAACGCAAACAAACAAACGAGGCTCATTTAATAAATACGCTTTTGTTTAAAAACAAACCACTTGGTTACTGGAGCCAATGAGGTTACACGAGTATTATTTCGAGACGTCGCCTTCTATTTCTGGATACACGGGATCAGACTGCGTTATTTTCAGATCTACAAGGTGTTGGTTGATGCAAAACTCTCATCCTTCACGTGTGGCATTGAGAGCATAAAAGAGTTGTCAGGAACGCAATTGACGTGCTACAATGTAGGCGAAATCGGGCTGCCAATCCATCGAGAAGGCGCCCAGTGAGTGCTAGAACAAAAGAGAAAACGTGACACATTGGAATGTTGCTAGGCTTTAAGCAAATTGACTGAATTAACTCGAACTGTCTACTAATAATGACTGTGCTGGCTGCTGTTTGAGCTGGTTCATTTTTTGCAGGGCTAGTTTCGAAAATTCTTGGTCGCTGAGTTTTCAGCTAATCAAAAGCCAAGAAAAGTTAAATTTCTTTATTTTTGCAACTTTTTGACTGTGACGCGTTTAGTCGAAAGCTTTCAAATTTATTTTCCACTGAAACTCCACTGAGCAGCTGCATTGTCTTACAACATGACAATGACAATTTGAACTTTCAGTTCTTATAAAAAACATACAGGGTGATTCAAAATTGGCGCAATTCTTCTGGAGGTGTTGTCTGGGGGTGTCTTGGGAGTACAGAAAAAATTGTAACAAAAAAATTAAATGTTATTCAGAAATCGATCTAGATCAAATATGCATAACTGGGAAGCTCTTAGGTCGAAAGCAGTCAAAAAACTCGTATGTAAAATTTATTTTTTTGCCGAAAAATGTCGCTGTTTTCTCACTCACATTCCACGTTCTGAATCAGATTTTTAATTCTCCGCCCAACGAGCGCAAAATGAACTCATTTCTCAGTTTTTAATAACAACTAATTTCTTTTACTAGTTTTTCTGTACTCCTATAACACCGCCGGAGGAATGACGCCAATTTTGAATCACCCAGTATAAAATGAGAATTGAAAATTTTCCAAGAATGGAGCTATAAAGGCACAAAATCCATCCTGTTCGCATTTACAGAAAAAAATTTGTAAAACAACATCGCGTCCATTAGTCGGTGGAAATTTCAGCAAGGATTTTCAAAATTCCGCAAAATTCGCTTTATGAAAGCACAAAAACCATTTTCCAGGGATGCAGAGAAGAATATTTTGCTATTTAAACCGGCACCAGTACGGACCACTGCAGTTTCAACATTCACTTGCATTAGTCATGAAAGCACGAAAATTACTCAGAAATAATTCGGAAAAACCTTCGCACTAATCATTGATATATTCTAGTGTTCTTCTAAAACTAATAAGGTTAAATACTTTCCCGCTTTGTCTTTATGCAACTCTAACTGTTAGTCTGGCCAGCTGCTAAAATGCAAGAAGTAGCTGGAAATAAATGATTCAAAACCTTTTTAGTACATAAGTAAAAGAGCCCATTGGTGAAGCCTTCTTAGTGCGCGCTTATTCACATCTTCCGATTGGTCGGAATTGATGTTTTCGCATTCTTTCGGATGAAATGGTCGTTTCCACCATGTCCCTGAATGGATTGTGTTGTAAAGAAGAGGCACCCTGGCTGCTAAAAATAATAAGCGTTAACGAGGCCAAACTCGGCTGGCAGCGGGCCAACGGCTTCCCCCCCAAAGGGCCGCCCTTCCGATGGCATTAATTTAATATTTTCCGGGCGGCCGGTGGGGAAACTTTTCTCTATTTCCGGATACACGGATTAGAAGTTCCTTCCAGTTTCACGAAGGGCGGCCCAACAAGGCGAACCTGATGGAAATGGAAAGTTTTTTCTCATAACAGATGATTATCCATTATGTGATTTGAATTTGTACATGGAAAACTTGGTTAAAAAGTTGCGTTTCAAGGACAATTCACTTTTCCCCCTTGGGTATATTAGGACTTGGACCAAATATCGGTTGGATAAAGAGAGGCCTGATTTGTCTGATGATTGCCATCAAGCCCTAAGATCCGCCATAAAACAAATCGAAAAATCAACCAACCGCAAGGACGTTTCTCTATTGCGGGATTCATTCGGGCGGCGCTTTTTTTTCGAGTTTTCGAGGATTGAGGCAGTAAAATCCATCTCCCCCAGTCCACAACAAATGATTCGCTAAAGCCACTTTGAATATATCCATTAGGGCTCATTATTAAACGGTTTTTGGCTGTGCGAGCGCTTCCACTTTGTTGGGCATTGTTATCGATATCGGAATAGTGAAAAGTCAGGAGCGCACCACGAGATTTCAGGAGTATTTAAGTCGGTTTCGGAAAAATGCTTGCGCAAAAGCCTTGCAACCCACCCATGGCCGGAATGCGAAAATAGCGTACTATTTAATAGGATTGAGCGATGACAGAGATATTGGAATAGTGGAGATGACTTATCGGGGATGTTCGACGAACTGCGAAAATTCGATTGATT